GTTTCTTTCGTACGTTCAGCAGGAGGTCGACAACGACCTGTGGTTCGAAAACCTGCTCAATGTCTTAACGCGCGTCCTCAACGTCTGCGGTATCGCTGTCTTCGTCCTGGCGCTGGCAAAGCTCTTGGGAAGTTCAAGCTGCTCGGCATCAAACTGTGGCCCTATGGGATTGCCGGGGCGACGGCCGTGCGGACGTTGTGGCCGTCCGTCCGAGCGACACTTCAGGGGAAGCCGTCCTGGCTGGGGATCGCCTTTGGCCTGCTGGGAATAGGCATGTTTCCCTTTTCTCTGGTTATTGCCGCGTTCAGGAGCTTCTGGGCATACATCGGGGTGTGTCTGTTATGGACCATTGTGCGACAGCTGTTCGGGGCGGTCCGGTTCATTGTTTCGCGGAGAAACAGGCGGCGTAAGGCTTTCTTAGAGTTGGACTAGATGGGAAGAATGAGACTTGTTAGATACGACTTTGGCACTTTGCTGATAGGCGAGGTCATAAGTAGAGTTATCGAATTTGACGTGCGGAAAAAGCTGCAGAATTTATGGTCCTGCCCTGACACGAACATTGAGAATAGAACTTTCTTCGCCGAACCGCTTGCGTGAAAGATATTGCCTATTCATGAGATCTGGGTCGACTTCTGCGCTGACGGCACTTGCCACCAGTAAGTAGTTGCACTGATCCTGATTGCCAATGTTGATCTGCTCGTCAGCATTCTGAGCGGCTATTATACCCGATATAGAGATATAACCCGTGTATTCATCCATCAAGGGATTCAAACGGTACGACCTCGAGATACCTAAAGACTCTCTGTCGAATTTCCAATCGATTTCAATGCTGTAATTTTCAGAGCGCAAGAAAACATAGAACTCAGAATCAGGCACCTTACTTCTGAATAGAATGTTGCTGTTGGGGATCCAATATTCCGGAATATGAGTGAGGCTGTATTAGTGATGACGGGTGCATTGCAAACGGACGACATTACATTTCCACATAATGCGACCGACGGCTTGATTGTTTCGTGGCCGTCAAACGGCTCAGCATCCGAGTCACCCGGGCCCGTGCTTATAAACCAAAACCCCTAATTACCAACATATTCCTGCGCTCCGCACTCAGACCCACACTAAGCCCCATAAGATACGAACCCGCGCGCTGTCTCCGCCGGGCGCCTATTTGAAGTCACATCTCTCTTTAAGTCCCACGAGAGTTGCCTGAGTTCTTCCTCGTCAGTACATTATAGAAGTGTCGACTCGATCCATCATGGGACTTCACAGTTTTTGCGCGGGATGCCTGACGGCAGACCATAAATCAGCGCGGCGCGCACGCAGCCGATTCGCATGGCCTTAAGTGAAATTGAGAGATTATGGTGCGGAAACTTCAGGCTGGGGCGTGATCTTATGCGCAGCTAGACGGTCCGACGCCGGGAAGGGGTCATGTGAGCCACCGTCCGATCGCCGGCAGTGAGTTGCTCATGAGTAACTACGGAAGACGATCAATGAATTTCCGAAGTTTACAGCATTTCCATGTGCTGGCATAAGATTTGCTGCGCCGGTCAAAGCAGTACCCGCGTAGAATGTGACCCAACGATATGTGGACTTAATCTGCGAGCGACGGTCACTACGTATCGCTCACTTGTTTTGCAAGAATTTGTGCTTGTGTGACGTGGCAAGTGCACATGGACATCATGTACTTAACTTTGGCGATCACTATATCAGCGTTGTGGAGTTCAACATGCAGCGCTAGCACTTTGCGAAGGATTTGCTGAAAGGGTTTGCGCAGGGCCTGCATGAAGTCATGCAGAGCTATGCTGCGGCTAGCTAGCCGGCCTGTCAGACGCTCAGAAGCACAGGTACAACCAGCTAAGCACGATGCAACGCCGGACACACATCCATGGCACCATATCCAGCGCAATTGCTTCCAAAGGCAGATGTTCAACGAAAAGGCATTTCGAAGCGGGTTTCCAAAAGAGGCAGGGCAATCTACCGCTGCTGTCCTTCTTCCCAGCCTGGAATGTTAGCCGTAGCTTCGTTGACCATCTCCACTAACCGAACCTGCGAAGAAGCAAACAGAGGCAGGATTAGCATCGCTCACGCTGTCTGCCGCCTGGTTGCCACGAGGTTCCGCAATGCTTCGAGTCGCAGGAAACTGTCTACAAGGAACCTACGTCACAGGCCTCCAACTGCTTCAACCTCTAACGTGCAGAATTCTGACGAGTGTTGCTCTTTACCTGGTGCGAGAATCAAACAAGCCGAAGGCACGGACGTTGCAGACCAGAATGGTACAAGAGCAGGCCCAAGACTTACCACGGTCTCTGGGACCCCCTTGGGTGGCATCGGCATGTTCCGTGGGATGGCGCCCCCCGAGAATGACCGCTTGTCAAACCTCCACTCCCCTATCTTGCCGTACGTAAGCTCCCCCTGCAAAGCGACATTGACAGTCCTGAGTCAGCGGGCTGCAATACTCATTTGCAGGGAAGTCATCAAAAGCACAGAATCACGAAAAGCTGCAAAGCAATACTCGTGCTCAGATCGACGATCACATCTCGTCACCTTCTGCGAAGGCGAGTGAAAAGCGTAACAGTTCCCACAAAAGGATTCGCATAAAGTCGTTTACCTTCATGTTGTAGTCGCAGCCATATGTATAGTGGATGATGTACGCTCCGTCCAGCTCCGTGCTGAAAGGAGGCTGCGCAATCACGAACGACCCGTTAAGCTGACTGGACGGTCCAGGCTGCGCTCTTCAGATTCTCCCTTTCTTCAAGACTTTCCTTCCGACAACGAAACCGTCAGAACATGTCGCTGTAAATCGGGCCATAGCCTTGTGAACAGGCATCAGAACAAACTATGTGTCCCTTTCCAAGTTCGTCGGGATGTGCGGTCACACTTTGAGCGCGTCTGCACAAGCGTCGCCCGTTTGTTGGCACTTCCGTGTGCTTACCTGCACCATGAAGTCTTGCCGCAGTATGTGGGACACGCCGTGAAGCGCGGAGGCCACAGCGTACGCATACCTGCGACGCAACCCGTTTGGATGATGCTCTCCTCCTTGGAATCCTCTTTGAACGCCCAACGAAACACTTCTTGAACACTGTACCGCGCTCGAAACACTTTCCGCACGCCAAATGCCGAAGCAAAGCCTTGTTGGATACATAAGCGAGACACACTTTTTACACACCAAATGCCTAAGCAAAGACTTGTTGGATGCATACATGAGAGGAGCAATTAGTCGCCAAGAGTACACCATCACGACCAGGGCATCTTGCATCTTCTAGGAATCCGTGTGGGCTTCCGTCCTTACATTTCGAGCACCCAGCCAAACGCCTTGTCGACCTCCTCGTCGTTCTTGAAAGCGATCGAGACGTTCTTCCATGTGGGCGCTATTTGTTGGAGGTCAGTCTGCACAAGAAGACAGTCAACCTTCTGAAATCGAGTGACGAAGGGACTATATGCAGCGGAAACCAGTCCAAAATCTGTCTCAATTACTTCTGGGGCCAGGCGCAAACGGTGTGCTGCTGTATCAGTCATTGTTCTAGGTTCGCTTCGCTGATTGTTCTTGGTTCGCTTCGCTTGATTGTATATCCAGGTCAAAATCCTTGTGCAATTGTTTGAAGAGCCGTGGTTTTCGAAGCAGACTGTTGGATTGTCGCACTGCGGCTGATCTGGTCGACGGTTGAAGGACAGGTGCTCACTTTCTTGATGATCACTGGCGAATTACCGATTGGATCGATGTTGGTTATGGGGCCCTTGTCTTTGGGGTAGTACCGCCGCAGCAGCGCTGAAGGAGCAAGAGAAAAAGGGTTCAGCCTTTTAGAGGGAAAGACGATATGGGGTTTGCATCTCATCGGGTCCATCTGACGAAAACTCAACAAAGCAAAACAGGGGACTACCGACAATGAATTCTTACAAATTTGAAACTGCTCCAATCAAAGTCAGCTGCGAAAAACCACTGCGGGAAGGTGTGCTTGCTTGGCTCACTTTCGTACTTCTTGGGCTCGATGTAGAAGAAGGGATAGGCAGCCGGCATGAAGTCGGCCGCCAGATTCGGCATGGGCCGCACAAAGACATGGTCGGGCTCCGCCATCAGAATGTACCTGGCAAGTGTGTGAGCGCCCATCAAGTTGAGTTCTAAGGTGAGGAGTGTACTTCGAGTGGATCTGGCCGTTGCATACCAATGTTGAGCAATCTAAACCGAGACTGATGACTGATTGCAACAGTCCAGCGGTGAAACATCAAACTTGTGGGGCGCATGTTGACGTAACAGCATTACGTTCGTACAATGCTCCCCTGCCGTTGAAGCAATTACTATAAAATCCAGGGATACCTACTTCCCATGGCAGAGCTCTTGAAACAAAGTCAGTTTGAAGCTACCCAAATGCTTCGGCTGAAGTCTCAGCCTCTGTCACTTGTTTCTAGTCTCCTTTTGTCAAACTCACAGAAGCACAAGGATGAGCATCTGAGGAGGGCTCACTCTTCTTCAATTTCCGCCTGCTCCAACCACTGCTGGAACGCCCAGGGACGGTTGAGGACTACGTATCCCTGCAGGAGCGTCAAGGACATGGTCAGTGTTCGACACAATCAAATATCTCAAATGAGAATCCCACGTTAGTTAGTAAGAAAATGCCCAGAGCTGGCGCAAGAAAGATCAGTCAATCTCATTGACCAGTCACCCTGGCTCCTGAGCCCATACGAGAATTAAGCAGAGGCTTCTTTACCTGCCGGACGAAAAGGGAAATGACTCAAGTCCTTCCAGTCAAAAGCCATTTCTCTACTTTACCCATGTAAGTGATGTATGACCCAGACGCCTGACTGACAATACGTACAGCTTTCAGCAGAGGGCGCCCATTGTAAGGTGTCAAAGTGAGGTCACAGACGTTTGCCAGGACCCGTCAATTGAGGGAAAGGCCCCTGACCTTGTCCATCCCCTCTGGCAGTGGGTCCACCACAAACGTGGGGATTTCGTCCATCATATGGTCCGGCTTGCCCGAGTGCAAGATGCGCGTGAAGCCACCCATCTCACTTCCTTCCCTGTCCTTCATCTGCTTGTACCTGCACGAGCGTACACGTCACCGGTCAGCTAGGCAACACATCATATTGGAGGGCAGCAAACTGGCAGTGTTGGGAGCTGCTTTGCTGGCTAGCAGCACTAAGAGCCCGTCAGAGCTGCATCATGTGGTAACTTTTGGGCTTTCAGGGAAGTCAGCACTGATAGAACCTTCTGCTAGTAGGTGAGACTACGACTGGTCAGACTGGTCACAGTCCTTCAAGACATAGTTGCTGACATGACGGCCTGAGCTTGACAGCTCAAGATTTTAAGGTGACTACCAGATCAGAACATGCCGTCCTAGGCTCTCCAACTCTCTGGCTACTATAAGATTCCCCATTTCTCCCCCTTCCTCTGACATCCACGTCCTGATTGTTGAGAGGGTTCATTGCAACCAACTGATGCCTGAAGCAGGCACTTTTCATGACACCCGAAGCAGGCACTTTTCATGACACCACCATCACTCCTCACCAGTAGTAATGTATTCTGCACTGCCACCGATTGTAAGGCGACTCATTCGTCGTCACTGCGACATGGAACAGCCGCTTCTCGCCTTTCTGCACTTTGTCCTTCGGCCGCGGAATCACCGCATCGACTGCGCCTGACCCCTGCCCCTCTTTCCGGGAAGTTTTCCAAGTCCCTTGTAGCTTCTTCCCCAACGTTTCAGAAGCCCCGTGAAATGTTCCCTCCCTGTTGGCCTCCCAGTCTGCATCTTGGTGTGCGCCAATTGTGGCCCTCATATGCCCGAGGGCCATGTTGATTGCATTGTACGTCGCCACGAAAGAACACACCACCACAGCGAGCAGAAAGATGATACTTGCTCGCGACATGGTCTCAGGCGCTGCTTCGAAGCTCACTTACGAGCCAGGGGGTTCCCCTATCAAGGCAGAAAGAGGACATCCCCTTCAGGGCTCGTTGTGGGCTAGAAACTTTACAGAAACGCTATCCTATTGGGAATGCCCGAATTAATGATTGCTAGCTAGTGAAATGCTTTTCATGAGCTAGCAAAACTTTGCAAAGGTCTCCTTACGGCATCAATCGAGGCAGGGCGACAGGTATCCTGCAACTTATCCAATTTGAGGGCAGACTTGTCTTCGAGGCAATCGGGCACCTAAAATCTGATTCTGTTCGCTGATCTTCTCAGTTTCATGGCAGCACGCCCTGCTGCGCCTCTCACCAGGTTGAGCTGCATTTGCAGCTGCTGGAGCCAGCTGCTCCGAGTCGAACAAGAAACGTCTTTTCACAACCCAGTCTCACGCCCGTTTCGAGAAAACCTCTCAAAACACCAGCCTTGTCGTTTTGGACAAAATGCTCATAAGTGCCGGCCGGTTTTTGAACAAATTGCTCAAAACAGCCGGTCGAGTTTCGATCAAATCGCTCGTATTCTAGCTGCGCCTTTCGAAGAAAAGGTTCGAATTTCTGCAAGCCCCGGGCACACACTAAAACAAAAAGGACTTGCTCGGTTGTCACTCGCAGTGGTGTAACCCTAAAGCGGGAAGGCCCGGTTGCCCCAAAGAAGTGCCCGGTTGTCTTAGGGATGCCCGCGAGACCCTAATGTCACTGGGAGGGCCCGGTTGCTTCTCGGGTGCCACGGTCCCCTAAACTTCTAGAGGGAAGTGCCCGTTGTCCCCGGGAACTTGCGGCCGCCTCCCGCCCCGATCAACCACCCATAAGGGTACCGTCCTTTATGATCCTGGCGGTCTTCGCGATCGATGTTGTGGGTCGCGATGGTCCACCTGCATCGACGGTGGAGATTCCGCGAAAACTACCCGCACGTCGCGACGGCAGACCCGGCCGGACCCGGTCGCAAATTTGGACAATTTGTTCGTATCGTACGACGCAGTTTTGAGCATTTTCTCCAAAAAGACCCGACCGGATACGAACGATTTGTCCAAAATCGATCGCCGTATTTTGAGAGTTTTACTCAAACTTTCAAATTGGTGTTTTGAGAGGTTTTCTCAAAACGGGCCGTGAGTCCGGGTTGCTTTTCAAGTGATTTAGGTACAGTACACCGTATGGAGTTAAGGTCGAACTTCCCTTATTCGCAGATTTCAAAACCCTAATGCCCGTGGGACAGAACTGTGAAGACGTCTTCATGCATATCTCATGCTTCGCTCCATCTTTTTGAGATCCGTCTTTTGCATAAGAAAGGATACATCAAAAGGTACTTCGTAAGTCTTAGTCGGCAAAATCTAGTAGCTCTTAGTGTCTGCAAGAACGTGTTCAAAACATGCGTTTCTGGGCGTTTTGGAGCAGGCACCGAAAACGCGATTGACATGTTTTTTCAACCTTCTGACAATTTTTTTTCCATGGGACCCGGGGGGACCCTTAGTTCGTCGAGTGAAGAAGGGATGAAGCTCTTAAAATCAAAAAGTT